CCCTACGATCATCTATGATTTCTATGATAAACGTTCCTAAAGTATATCCAAAAGATAGGTTAGGTTCTATATAGTTTACTTCTATTACTAATAATTGTTGGTATAGCTTGGTATAGCAGACTAATAGCAATTTTGTTGTCACGTTTTTACCGATCACTTGTTAAAGGTATCGGTAGCTTGTTAAATTAACAAAATCCTTTCTTTTAGTGTTTGACATTCTAACAACCAGCTTGAGCGTCCTACATAATTATTTGAATAGTCCAACAAAATTACTTTCAGATCTGTATCTAGCTAAATTTTTAGATACTTCATCAAAACCGCTCTCTTTGTGTAGATATTTCTGAAAAATCATATTGTAACGCAATTACGACCGATTGTTCGTAATACGAAATTTCTTCTGTTGCTCATTACGGGCATTCGCGATATAAACGCGTGAATCATCGATTCTCCTCTGACTTAATATTGAAACTGCGGCTCGAATATTAATAGCGCCACTGCCATTTATGGCGTGCGCTATTGAACGCGATGAAACTGAAAGTTCATCGTCGGAGAATTTCTAAGCGACATCGAGATTTAATCGCTACGAATTAATTGATTCAATTGTTATTGAATAGCGAATTGGTCTTTACGTGTGTTCTTGCAATTTGGATTTCAGGCGAGCTGTATGTGGAAGATTTGAACGAAAGAAGAACGGTTTCCATCAGGATGGGCTGGCTATGGGTCGAAGGTACTCCGATGAGGTTACCATTGCGAGCATTAAATCTTCGTCAGGCATCACCGAGTCTCTGTCAACCCCACACATTTGCTCTCGGCTTTACCTTGAGCGATTCAGAGGGTCGTTCGCTCGCCACCTTTTGGGTAATTATCATCGCTAATTAAAGGTTTTTCGTATTTTTGTCTATCTTTTATATTGATATTAATTTGCCAATTTTATTACGAATTCCACAATTTAGTGAAAAGGAAAATATTAACAATAGGAACGTTATTATTCATTATCCATAATCCACAGTTTCTGAATATTCCAATAATGAAACATCATAAATATTAAAACAATGTGAAATACAGAACGATTGAAACATCATAAATGACGGAACGCAAATTTCTTTCATTATAAGCAGCGATTGAAATCTATATTTTGAATCAGCGTTTGATAAAAGTAGAACTATAAATTCTGAGGCGACTAATCTCGAATATTATTCGAATCCCAATACACGTTTCAGCCAGCATTCTAGCTTATTATCACAATCAGTTTCAAAACAAATATACCTCAACGTACAATTACTTATCGGACAATGATACAGAATATCTTGTACAAAGTACCAAAACACATAAATCTACTTGACAGCTTTCTTTGGAACCAGCATTGAGTGATTCAAAAAGTCACTCTTTTGGTTAAGCATTATTATTGCTGCTAATTGAAGCTTTTTCGCAATTTCTCTTTCTATCTTTTATAAATCGACAAACATCAATTTACCGGTTTCACGAAACGGTTTCATAAGATTTCGTAAGAGAAATCGATTTGTAGTGAATTGAAAAGGAATTTCCCGATTACTCTTGATCCCTGACCAGCGCAACGGCGTATTTCAAGCTAGAGAGGCTTTCGTGAGAGCCGAAAGCGTTCGCGATTTGGCATGGTTCCACAAGACAGAATCGGCCGTTCTCGCGTTCCTCGCCGGGCGGCGGCGACTGTAAGGCACGACAGAAGCGCGGACGAAGACAGGACGGGAGAGGCCAGGGAAGGAATAATATGCCGCACCACGCAATGTAATTGCATGTAAATGGCCTTTATCTCCGGCACGATCCGTTTCCTCAGCCGTAAACACTTTCACGTGCGCCGGGCGAGCCACGCGGGCTCCCGTTTCGCTGAACGCTGCAACTTCTAATTACGGATCCGCCAGCGTCGCCATTCGATTTCTAACGCGTTATACAATCCCTGTGAGCAAGCAAGCGAGCGAGGCCGTGCGAATCTATCACGACAGCTCCGATCTTTAGAATATCACCCAAAATTCAAATCTACACGCAAATTTCTCCTTTTTGCATAGAACCCATCGTTGATCTTCGACCACTTTCAGATCACGCGGAGAATTCTCGAAATTCGTTTTACGTGCTTCGTCCTGGCGTAGCGTCGGATTTTCACTTCGCTTTTTTTCTATCTACTCACGGAATAATACAATTAGAAGCTTTCTTAGTACGCGATGTTCTACCTAAGCCGATGAGACGCGCGCTCAATCGACCTTCGAAGACGCTTTGGCACGCGATTGTGGGATAATGCGTTCGAAACACCAGCTTAAACAGCATGTATGAGGTATCCTTGCCAAGGCCGCGGATGTCCAGGTGACGGAGGAGGAACGACGGACTCTGTGATGTAACACAGACCGCCCGCCCGTCGAATCGCGAGATCTTAATAAGGCCAGTAGGCAAGGTCAACATACCCGCTTGCCGATTCGCTTGCTATGATAAATGCGTGGGAGATTGTTGCACCGTTCTCCCATGACCCGCCATTGTCAAGGAATCCCACCATCGCGCGCTCTCGTATCCGAGGAGAAGTTTCTCGCCTCTTTGGGCTCGTTCCAAGGACGGCTATCTTGCCAGCGCATGGCCAGTCAATCGGACGAAGATCCTTCGGCATTGTAATAGGACGTTCCGGCGTTTTCACGCTGAGTCGACTTAACGATGCTAATTGAGGCAATTGCAGCGACTACGCGAGCGCCCATTGATGATCGTGTGCCGCGATTAGAATTACGGATCGATGAGCATCGTCGTTGCCTAGGAATACAAGTACACAGCTCTCGTGTCATTTTGCCGCGGTGTTTCTCTTGTCGCTTGTTCATAGCTCGATGCTGCGTCATGGTTTTCGATCGAAAGCGGGTTTTCCATGTTGTCCTCGAGATAGACAACGAACGGGCAAACCTGTCGGCGAGCTTTTTTCCAGACAGGCCTGATATCGGCCAGTGTCGTCGAATGCGCCGCTCGAAGGCACGAAGGCCGGCCTCGGCAGGCAAGGCGACAGAGAGATTTGTTCCCGTCGAGGATGGTAATGATCGACACGCCGCCGGTGGTTAACGAGCAAATTCCACGTTGTCGGAGTCCGTCGTTCGTGCACTCGAGCGAACCGGCGACTTTCGAATCGCCGCGCCGACCAGCGAAATCGTGTGTCACGGTCGATCCTGCGGGTAGACAGACTCGTTCGACTACTCCACGCAGCATCCAGATACCTACCGTATGAGAATATGAAAACCGAATGTACATAACCGTCGGCAATGTTTTGCTGGTCCTACATTCTCGCTTATATGTTAAACCACTTTACCTACTCGTATAAAAACTTTGTTATCGGAATTATCAGTCAATTTAATTTTTAATTGTCTCAACATTAATTTTAATTGCTATATAACTTTCTCAAAAGCCGAAGCTTTCTTTAAAAAAGTTTCATATATATCATTTTATGCATCATGACTATGTCCACATAAGTAATAGTGCCAAAATCATTTACAATACTAATTTATAAATACTTTAAGAAAAAATTAGAATATTTATATTTAAAAAGCGTATTTTTGAACTGTATATTTATTACTATAATTTAAAAAGATTCAATTTTATTTTAATTTTCGTTGATAAGCAAAATTATAGAGATTTATCACTATATGAATAATAAATCAAATAAGTAAAGAAGGACCAAGTATGATGAAGACTTATACATCTGGCCAATATTATTTATATATAAATTTTAAATACATCTTTTATTTATTTAAACTGAGCGCCGATTAGTGTCAGATTTGAAATTCAATCATAAACTGAAGCTGAAATGATAAAACAGATCTTTCTTTTTAGCTGAACTTCTCGCACAATTCATCTTTTTTCTTTTTTTTCAATGTGAAAAGGAAAAAGGAAAAGATGAACCATGCAAGAAGTTTAGTTATAAAGAACAGGACTTACATCATAATTAAATTGATTATTAAGTTCGATAATAATCGACGCACAGTTTAAATAACTGAAAGATTTTAAAATTTACATATTTATAAATATTATTATTAATCAAAAATATATTTAACCTTGACCGTATATTTAATTTGGCCCTTCTTTACTTATATTTGACTAATTTTCGATATTTAAAAAATACTATAATATCTTATTAATTATTTCAAATGTTTAATTATACAACTGTTTAAATATAACATGTCAATCTTTTTATTTCTTCAGGCGGACACGGAACCGATCTATTGGTCTTGGGTCAGAGCGATTGCAGCCGAACTAGTTCGGCAAACGCCGTTTCGCGCTCAACGATGCTTGAACTTCCTGGAGATATTGACCATTTGTCCGAGAGGTCCGGTTCCATTGCCGGACAGCCCGACGGAAACGAGAAGGCGATCTCGCAGCGAATTACGTTGCTGGCCAAGCGACTCACCGACGGGGAAGACGACGTTGTGCACGACGACGATCCTCGATGATTCCAGGAGAAGGGCGAGGAGTGAATTACGCGGTTGGTCCAGCAGTAACTCGAGCGACGAGGACCTGTTGGGAGAATTTCGAAGCATACCCACTGTGATAAGCAACAAGGACCAACCGGTCAGCAGAGCGTGGGGTTGCAGCGAAAGCAGCGAGGGTAGCGACGACAGTCTCCCTTGGGGTGGCGTATGCCGGTCGAACGATACAGTGGACTCCCGCAGCGTCTCCTTACCGGAACCAGAAACGAGGGAACAGAGGATACAGAGGTACAAAGAGGCGCGCAGACGCGAAAACGAAGCGAGAAGTCGACGAGTCCTTGAAGAGGACGCGAGGCGGAAAGCAAGAGCCGAGGAAAATAATAACAATTTGCCGAAGATCTACGGTAAAACTAGGAGTAGGATTTGTTCTGCCAACGATAACGATGAGGCTCATCCGACCCGCTCGCCCAAAAAGGAATTTTTTACATCGACCGACATACGAAAGCAAAACGAGAATTCGATTGTCGATCGACTACCTCCGCTCAAACCGAACGAGACCTCCACAGTGAGGTTCACTGAGGAAAATTATCGAAACGAGGACGACAAACGGAACAATAATAGTCCTAGAAGTGGAAACAACAGTCCTGGAATACTCAGGCCGGACATCAACGAGAGGAGAAGTAGAGCCAGAGAGAGGAGAATCATTCGTGACAAGGCGCAGCTATCGCAGGTCCAGCAACTGATGACCGGTATCACCATAGCTAATGTGGAAACTCTTCGGGAGCGGAAGGAGCGACTGGCTCTCCTGTCTTCCAGAATTCCCGTTCCCCGTCAGTTGTCGCAGCCTTGCCCAAAATCCACGGATTGCCCGGCAATTGTATCCCCGAGTTCTCCGTCGGTCTTAACGGTACCACCTTGCGAAGAGGATGTTGCCAAACTTCTGGAGCGATGTCAGAGGGTAGACAAATACGTGCCAGTGAGGGAGAAGCTGACTTTGTTCGAATCCCTTTCGAGATTAGGCGGTCGCCTGGCCAGAAGCACAGAAGATCTTGGTCGAACATCTTGCAAGCCCAGTCCCAGGGGCAAACAACGCGCCCGGTCTCTTCACGATCTCAACCGAGGTGCCAGGGCTCTACCCGTGAGAGAGATGTGTCGATTTTTTGAGGGCGATTTGGAGCAGGACGCTTGCCAGAAAACGATGAATCTTGCGAAAACGAGATTTAGCGATCCACCCGCGAAGAACACCTGGAGAGATCCGAGTTCGAAACACGAGGCACCATGCATCAGCGCTTCCGTGAGAAAGAAACATTATTTAAAGTGAACGCAACTAGTGAATCGTTCTTTCAGGACATTTCAGAACTTAACCCTCTAATAAGATGGATTTTCAATATCAAGGAAAATAGAGTTGGATATTATATTGTTTTGTTTATTTTTTAAATATAATTAATATACAAAATGTGTAAAAGAAGTTAAATAATATAATATAAAATCTGTTCTTCTGTTAACAACGTAAAATGTGCGTAAACAACTGTAAAATAGAAGTCGCATCCAACCCCATCTTACTATTAGAGGCTTAAGGATTAATATATCCTTAAATTCACGCCTCATTGAAAATGAAGTAGCAAACTCAAAGGGACGGAGTAATTACTCAATTATTTCATTATTCTTATATCTTCTTCTCAGCATAAATTTTCATAAATCATGCCGGTTTTTGTAGCCAGTGTAAAGTTAGAAAATATTTTCCAATCGAACAAAAAAAACTGCGATAATATACATAAAAACCCAAAAATTATTATCATAACTGATTTCGGTTTCTATCGCGCGATAAAGACTGATAAATCAATGTAAATATTAATTAAAATCACCGAAGTTTGCGAGAGTCCCTTTCAAATAGAACATAAAATCGTAATAAAATCAAAACATCAAATAGAAGTTATTTTAAGAAAAATTATAACAAGAAAAAGAGGGAGAGAGAGAGAGAGATGTCAAGAATTCACCATAAAATCATCATAAAAAATGTATCGAATGACGTCATTATAATTTTTCTTAAAATGACTCTTACAGAGTCCAACAAGAATTATGGTACACAAAGTTTTAAATAAAACGCACAATTTTTGGCAGAATCCTTTTTCATTGAACAAAATATCTTCAGTAAACTATGGCAAAATTTTATTTGAACAGGATATTGGCCAAATAATTATCTCTTCTTGCATACTCTGATACTCGGTGAAATTTTTGATGTCATTTTGACATCACCGGTTCAATCTCAGCGAGACTGGATGTTCACATATTGGTATTTTTGTATATCTTGTACCGGTCCAGTTTCCTCGAATTTCTTCACTATACTGCGATGATGACGAGCTCTGTTGGTTGGTTATGCTGGCCAAAATAACCACGAAGTTTTCGGAATGTGATTTTCATCATTCCGTGAATTTTCATAAAATGTTTGGATAATTTTCTTGCATAGTTTGATGTTGTATCGCTCCATATCACACATCACATTAAATTTCCCACATCTCAAGATGACACATGTCAAAGTTAGGTCGAATTCATGAGTACGTTCTGAAGTTACATTCCGACTTTGTATAACTTTTGTTGGATGATCCTGACACTTGATGTCATCTTGATCTTATTATGACTTTATCTGTTCTACCTGGGCTCTTACTGATAACAATAATTAATTTTAGATATTTGCCTAATTAAAATGTTGTCAAGAGGATCCAAACCGTGAATCGAAACCATATACTTTTATCAATTGTTGTATAGAATAAATTATTTATACACTGATATATATCCTGCGCTCTTAAAGTCATTTACGATTTATTGATTTATTTTGTCAGAGCCTATAATTTCTCTTGTTTGATGACAATCAGTTTCTTGATGATCCTCATGGATTCCCGGCGAAGCTAACTCGATTTAATTGTTTATCAAACACTTTAGATTAGAATCGACTTTGTTGATTGTATCGCGGGCGACGATTGTCACACTTGCGACGAGAGAAAGTCGCCGCGCGCGCAGGCTCTTTTTCACGCTCTCGAGGCCCCGAACCATGCTTGATTCTCTCAAATTGCTGGTTGTCGCGATCGGCCATCAAAGTAAGGGAAAAAAAAGGATGCTGATACTTACCTGCGTGTCTTACGAAAGTGAAAATAAAGAATACGATCGTTATAGAAATTTCTTATCTCAGAATTAGAAATCTATTTTCCTTTTCGAAGAACGTTCTGAACTAATGTATGCTAGTGTGATAAGTTTTTCAATGATCCTTATGGATTCTCAATTTGCAACTCAGTGTTCAGAATATTCTCCAAAAAAGAACAGGTCTCTGATTGTGAGAAATTTCTATGATGATCGTATTCTCTATCACATGTGTATACCAATTCAGAACATTTTTTGAAAAAAGACAGACCCTAGATTCCATCTTTATTCGTTACACGAATATCGTTTCGGATCATAGACAATTTATTTGCATATAAAAATATAGAATCAGCATATAACTTCTTGCGTGCAGTTATGCGTATCAGCGAGATCAAGCGTGGCCGATCATGATATGAGGGGAACGACGGAAAAAGAAAGAAAGACAGATAAATAGAGAAAGAGAGAGAGAGAGAGCGGAAGGGAGAGGGGGAATTGGAGAAACCGGTAATTTACGTTCACCGCGAGCGATTGCCGCAACGTTGAACACCTGTATGTATACAAACTATACGTACCGCGAGCCGATCGCCGAGCTCATTTTTCGATTAGCCTGAATTCGATCGTCGAGGATTTTAATCAGGCAACAGCTCATTCGTTTAAGTATCCAAAGAAATGAATAGTGAGTATCGCGAACGTTTATGGCGTTTCCCCAATTACAATAATTACAAGTGAAATTTGTACATAATTGATTAATTTCATTCTGTACCTGAAATTGTTGGTTCTATGTCTTCTTTTTCTTAGGCTATAGTTTAACTTTTGTTATGTCCTCGTTGCGATTGTAAATAAATGTCTAATTATTATCGATTTATATGATTTATATGTATATAAATATATATATATATGTGTATTTATGTATAGCGCTGAGGTACTATCTCCTGGTGTCTCCTGATAGTCCTTGTTGAGTGTGTTGATGTGTAATATTTGCCATTAGGGTGGCGATCGCCCTTCGTCGAATCTCTCGAATTTCCGTCGAGAATCAGAATACGGACTAGAGTCGACTTCCGCTTATTTCGAATCGAAACGAATCATTTCCGCTCGTACAGTACTCCTCTCACTTTCTCATTCCTTTTCATAATTGATAACACACAATGTGTAGAAATAAAAATGTGTTCTAATTTCATACAAAATAAATAAAAAAAATGAGTTTGACTACTTTGAGAGAAGATATAAGATGTAAAAAAAATAATATTTGACAGAAAAGACTTTCCTTGAAAGAAAATCTTGTTATTTATCAAATTTTATTTAAACAGCGATTGAACAGCGAAGAAATTATAAATTCTCTGATTTGTTGAATAACAATTATTATATGCACCATGATAATTATATTATGTATAATTACCAGCGTATAATAATTATATATATTACATGGAATCGCCGAAATTGATTCTTCCTACAAAATAGTTTGTAACCAGTATTTGGACAATAATTTTGTACAGTTACCCAAGGCACACAAGTCAAAAGAAAATCAAAATGACGTATTTTGACGTCAAAATGATGATTTTTTTGTTACAAAATTTGACTGTTTATTGACTTTAAGTATCAAAATAAAATCATTTTGATGTTTTTGATTTTTTTTGTTGGCTTTTGTATGTTCCTTGGGTTTCATCGAGACGTTTTGTACTCGAAAAGGATTGCCACTTACTTTGGTATCTCGTTATATAGTGTACGAAATGCAACTTTCTTGCGTTATGTATATAGAATTGTGAACGTAATGTAACAGAAAATAAGAAGAATTATATTATAAAAATATTTTACGGAAAATCAATTCAAGACAGAGCGATCGAGAGTAATCATATAATTCTTCATTAATTATTATTCGCATATAGATTATTATTCCCATTGAAAATATTCTAGAGTTCTTTTTGTGACAAAGTTTAAATTTGTCATTGTTAATTAATTTTTCTTTAAATATCGAATGAAAAAATTTTAAATAATAGTTCACAGTAAAATTATATTGCTGTTACATATAAACTTACATTACACGTTTGAATTATTACATATTTACACATATGGAACAAATTAAACATTAAATTTTTTCAATTAATATTTAAACATTTTTCTCATATGTCTGAAAGAACTCTAGGGTACCGTTAGGACCCGATCGCAAAGTTGCCAGCAGTCGACGACCGTCTACAGGGTGATTGAAATGACTCCGTTATCACTTATAAGTACATATAATATTTTGTAGTAGATTCGGTCAAACGCGATGTCATTTATCAGTGCCACCCGGTACGAAGGGTTGGTCGCCAAAGAGGTCTTCTAGTCCCTCGTCGGATAATTCCGAAAGGTTATCCCCCATATGTAACTACTTGTCGATATATTCTGATTTTTATTATCCCACGAAATATTTGTCAAACGGTACGAATCGCGTACCGTCCGCGGCGCAATTACGTGGCGAAAGTTGCGCGTCTTTGTATTTACCTTTGTTGTAATAAAAAGGGACGAATAATGGCCGTTACATAAAAGTGATTGTAATCTGGCGGTGTCCTATTCACCAGCGCGTCGTCATTCCTAGCCTGTTTCTTTTCCTATGATTATTTACGCTCATATCTTTTTCATCCAAGCTCGCCCACGCAAATCATTGTTTCCCTTCTCTCCTTTCTCTAGCGACCTATCCCGATGCTGATTTTCGCGAAATAAAGAGAATCGATTTGCATATTTTATATAAATGTTAGCGTAATTCCTGAGATCGTATTATGACGTTTAAATTATTTCTGACGTTTTTGGCAAGCAGTAAACATTATGATTGACGTTTCAATTTTATTAGTAACGTGTTTCATAATTGTTTCCAGTCGCTTTCCTTTCCACACAGCGTGCCTTCATTTGTGAAAATTCGCTAATTATCCAGTTTTTTCGCAAGATCAAACAGGTAGAGATTGTGTATGATATTACAATATTCTCATAAATGAGAACAGTGTTAGCTCTGTTTTCTAGATGAAATATTAGAAATTCATGAGTCGCGATTGTTGCACAATCTCCCGGGAAAATATTCTTTTACCCGTTTGCATTTTGCAAGAAAACGGAAACTTACCGACGGGAATAAAAGGAGAGCATTTTTAATAAAGTTTTTATAAACATTAGAGATAAAAAAATACGAGTAAAAAACTAATTTTTACGATAAAAAGTTGTCATCAAAATTTTTAAAAACGATACAAAATTTGTATACTCTTTCAAACTTTTAGAGTGAATCTCTTAAAAATTAAAAATTAAGCCATTTTTTTTCAAAACCGACTTAACTTTCACTTTTTAGGGTGAAGTTCTACTTCAAAGAATTTAGAGAGTATACCTATGTTATTTCTGTATTGTTTAATATATTTTTATAACTTTAAATGTCAAGGCAGAAATATCTGCGATTAGTTCTTTTTCGAAACTGGATCTAAGAATAGTCGATTCTTATATTTAAGACCGTCTTAAGTACAGCCTTAAAATGTAGTAAACCAATCACAGAGCTGTATTAATATTTTAAGAGATTTTTGAAATAAGATTTAAGATTCTTGAAATAAGAACGGAACTATAAATATCAACCTAAGTGTATGCGTGGCCGCTGCTTACAAGGAAAGGAACGTCAGTTTATCCTCCTATGATTTTGATGAACTTTTAATATTGCTTTATAAGAGAGGGACACCTATTGAGTCCCTTCTCTTGTTAGTCATCGTAACATTTTAATT